GGGCTATTGGAGTCGGAACACTTGCTTTGCAGCAAAATTCGAACGCCAAATTCCTCATTTAAACCAGCTGATGTTTCGACAACCGTATGCACCATTTCCTTTCTTGGAGATCGTAGTCTCTAATATGCCTATTCGGGAGTTACGATCCCAAGAAACCGGTCTTATCAAAGGAAGTACTGTTCTGAGCGTCTGAACAGTTTGAAGTACATGTATATAGAGATATATGGGTGTCTTACCTAGGGGACGGTGCTGATAAACCCTCATCGAATCGCCAGACTTAAATGGGCATATAACTTATATTAGTCTAACATAGATTTTGGCATACAAGTTCTTATGCGTCTTCAAATTCTCTCGGCTGTCAGGAAGCCTTGCCATGCTGCCTCTGAATGTTTCAGCAAGACTGGGCTCACAAATAGTTTAACCTGCTTTAGATTACGCACTAAGATGAATGGAAACGACTCAATGGCTGCTGTTCGCAACTGCGTAGGCCGCTGATTTCCTAAGTGAATAAACCTGGATGTAGGTGTTTTTGTTACTTTGTATCTGTCTCTGCAATCTTGCAAGGCGCTGTTAGCTGACAACCTTGAAGTCTTTGGTTTTTTATGCAGGAGCAGTACGAATTCTTCCAAACACACCTTTCCGTTGCTTTTTGCTAAATCTTCCAATAGTTACTTTGCTCTGAGCAACAACAGGTCTCCTACCTGATTGATTTCGGGAATTTGTATTTTTGGCAGTATTGTTTCCGGCAAGTGGGGAGGGCGCATTTTTACGGCCGCATTTGTGATCGCACTTGAGGATGCGACCAGGGAGACGGCCCAGTCCAATACTTCTACGCGGTCGATATCTTTCGAACGCAGGGGGCCCGGTCCCACATTTATGAGGGATTTACTTTATAAAAACAAAAGTTGGTAGGGAGCGCTCACTGATCGTCCTTACGGAACTCACTCGTTCCGTTGTGCCTTACGGGCTTTCTCTCGGGCCCAACCAGCAGCCGCACAGCGGCGCATGATATAGGCAATATGCTATTACCGACAAAGACAAGGGGGACTGGAATGGCCATTTCTGGCTTATTGGCCGTCGTCAGCCAGCCATACCCAAACCCGATGTGTGGAACACCCGAGCCTCGAACTCGCGACCTGTTAGTTAGAAGTCCACGCCTCTAAACACTGCGCCACGAGCCCGTTGCCCTGTCGGTCTTCGATCGCGAATATACAATAGTAGGGGACGCTCGCCGATCGTTCATACGGAACTCACTCGTTCCGTTGTGCCTTAAAGGCTCTCTCTCGGGCCGAACTAGGAGCCGCACAGCGGCGCATGATATATAGGCAGCATGGCATTACCGACAAAGACAAGGGAGACTGGAATGGCTATTTCTGGCTTATTAGCCGTCGTCAGCCGGTCATACCCAAGCGCGAAGTGTGGAACACCCGAGCCTCGAACTCGCGACCTGTTATTTAGAAGTCTAAATAACTGGTCGTGAGTTCGAGCCTAGGGTGCTCCACACTTCGGGGTTGGATATGACTGCCTGACGACGGCTAATATGCCAGAAATAGCCATTCCAGTCTCCCTTGTCTTTGTCGGTAATGCCATCTTGCCAACAAAAGTTGGGGTTTTTTAGTAGTATCACGCCGATTCCCAGGCCAGGCAGCCTGACCGGCATGGAAACCGGTCTGTTCGTCCCGCAAAAAAAGAATTAAAAGCTGTTTACAGGCCAAAAGGCTTCATCATCTACTGCGACTTGGCGAAAAAATATCACAGAGAGGCCTGAACTGGTCGTCTACGTTTGGGGTAGTTAATTGCCAAGCTCACCTTGACTGCCTTCGCGTGTATCAAATGCATACGAGGCAAAGGAGCTGGGAAGTACCGCAACTCCAGCGTTGTGAGAATCAGCAGTGGAAAGCATAATCAATTTAAAAAAAAACAGGATGGTTCCCAAACGCATGTTGAAGCATCTGCTCATTCTCTTAGTTGAACAGAGTTGAGAGCGCAGTCTTATAGGACGCTGAGACATACACAAAATCCAGTCTCCCTGGCTTCAGACTTCGAGCACATTAATTTCCTTATGCCCAGTCACTGTGGTGTAAAGGAGCGCGTCTAACGATTACATCTGCCAAGAACCATTTGGCAATGTCAGAGTAAGTTGTGGCACGGTAGTTCTTATCGGTGATCGGTAGCCTTTCTTGTGGGTCGGCTTGATGATAGCGTCACTCCAGGCTCTGGTTAATGTGTGGTCTCAATATTCGAGTCAACTAACAACCGATCATTTCTTGCAGATGTCTTCACCGGATGCTGTTTTTTCCCAGTCCATCCCAGTAAACGGCGCGCTACAGTCAAAGATACACTTGGGTGCCGAGGCGATGTCAAACTGGATGGTAGTTGAGGAAGTCGAACCTACTTCATTCGGAATCTGGGCAAATTCTCCTTCGGTAAGAGGTTCTCGCCCGACAGCAATGTTGTTACTGTATCTTGGTTCCCTATCCCGGAGACTGACAGATTATAGGATTGGCTCACCTTCAAAGTTCTATGCCGCACCACCGCGCCCGTTAGTTGGATCGCGTTCTCGGTCTCAGCAGGCTTGCTCCGAAATTTGTATATGTCTTGCCGCGCAGGACATGTTGCCTTAGACGCGATCTCTTTGAGTTGAGGTCGCTTCTTTTGTATTGAGCGAATGGTCCACAGGTCAGTCATATCCATTCCTCAGATATGCTAACTTTGTGGCAGCCCATGCTTGTGGCTCGCAGGCCATACCTCAACTGGATCCGATGTTGTACATAGACGGCACCTCTGGGGCGGCCACCGCGTCGACCCGATGCTAGAGAAACGCTGCAGCAGTTCCAAGACCTTGATATGGCGAAGACCATATTTCCTCCAGTCACGCCCGTCCAACAGCACGCGACCTGACCCCCGCGAGGGCATGGTTAGGGCCATTCTCAATGTGACCTCGGCACACATCACGCCTAGATTCATCGCTGAGCCGATTCGGTGTTCGAGTAGACCTATCGTCGATGCGGTTTTGAGTGGGGCCATCGGTCGAGAATCAAGCGATCAGATCTCCTAAGTCGTTGGAAGCAGGTATTGGCGACTATGCGCCGTGGTGCACGACAGTCAACGAATCCTTTCTCGCCTACGCCAGAGTCACCCATCGCACAGTGGTTGCGGACTCGCTTTGTGCCCTCATGCACCAATATTCTGGTATTCTGCAAATGCGATGTCACACACCAGAAACGTCCGGCTAAATGTTCGCAGTCCATCGTATCTAGCCTCCTCATACAATAAGCATACGCTGGGATGTACATAACAATAAACCCGATGCCAACCGCGTCGCGACGACGCAGAAACGCCATCCACGACTACAAACGACTCACCAGTGTTCGAGTGAAACTCCGGTCCGACTACTCAAAGATAGCAGAACCCGCCCGTCACTGCTGCCGTGAACGCAAGTTAACGCGCGTAAGAGACTCGTCCCGCCACTTTTGGGGGAGGAAGGATCTCTGAATATAATATCTCGAGCCCGTTCCAGGGTAGATGCACTGCACCGTCGGCGGAAAGATACAGGTAGGATGTCGCAGGCCAGTCAGAGTTGCCATTCACCTTAGCCCCGAGCTCTACTAATCGTGCATTCTGTGAGATCTATGCAGTCAACGTAGAGCACGCTTCGACGCAAAGCCCATGTGCTTCGGAAGGGCGGAGCGGGCCTCTGGCGCCCGTGGGTACATGTAGTCGGACACGACGCCACCAAAACATCATTGACGAGTGATTGGAGCTGCACTGGCTGCAAGTAAATCTCTCAACATGCAACACCGATCACTGAAGCTCCCTTATTCAGTCCCTGTGAAATACTTCAAGATTCTATCTGGGAGGTCGGACAATCTGTCCGCTCAACCGTGTGTGTTCCGCTTGCGCCTTCCAGCCGCAGCGCCCGGTTTGCCCAGCTATTTTAAGCCTGCCCCTGCATACTGGTCTTCGGCCAAGGAAGGACCATGACCAGGTGTCACAGGTCAATGGTACAGATGCAGTGTCCCAGAACGGGCCACGCGGTAGATGCGTTGAATCAACACAAGGGCCAAATCAGGGTTCGGCAGGCGATATTGAGAATGCGCACCCATGACAAATTCCAACACTGAGGGCGTAGAGGCACGCCCACAGACAGGCCCGCGCGGCGCCAGGCGGGATTCGAGCTGATCCTCTCAATCTCTTCTTGTGTAAAATCCAGGCCAGTGTACGTTGCAGACCATGGGGTGTGGTGGTACGCCTAGGTTCGGGTTTTAATGTCGTACCAGCCATATGCGCCCTCTTCCGCCTCCGGTCTTCTCGGCTGCCATGGTCCAGGACCAGGTGGGAGTGCGGCAGCTGCTGAGCAGGTCTAACACGACAATAAACAAATCTACGCGCAAGTCATCGTCCCTGTTCCAATCCTGCTGGACATCTTCGAAAACAACGATCAAGCTGTCGGCAGATGCACAATAAGGGATCAAAGTAGGTATCAGAACCATCAGTCTTGCGTAGTAGGAATCCTGTCCTACGACTCCCATCATGTGCAAGCGTAACCGGGGAGGGTGGGCTGCTGTCTACGCTTTTCCCTGAACATGTTCAATCAAAATGAAGTCGACGTCGCTCAAATCTCTTTTTTTACTCCAGGAAATAAACAAAGTCAGACGTAGTGCTAGAAAGTTATCTGCAATGAGGAGTTTGAGAGCCCGGTAGAAAAAAAGCGAATGCTTAATCATCCGCCACCTGTTAGAAACAGATGAGACGCAACTGTGTGTAGTGTCAAAGCGAGCAATGTACATATGAACCGCACACAAGGTGGGGTACCAGACAAACTCGAGAGTAAATCCCGAGATGAGTCGTAAAAGTATAAAACCAGGTTCTACGAAAGAAAAAACGATAAGACAGATTACAGAACAGTATGTACAAGCATGAGCAGGACCTAAAGGAATCCAGACGGGGCCGCACACTCGGAGTGTCCGGGAAAAATAAAGAAATATCTAGATAGGAAATTAACGGGAATTGTTTACTACAACTTGAGGTCGGTGGAGGTACTTATGGGGAATTGGTCGATTCAGGAGTTTCGCAACAGAAGGATACTCCTCAACAGTAACTGACAGCGAACTCTTCTCACCACAAGTATCGATGGGGACACCAGTTGTCGCAAGCTCAGCTGGCGAGCTAAGCATAAATTCTTCCGTGAAAGGACATATGCTCGGCTTCAAGACAGTTGTCTCTGGGACGGGACTACTGAATGAAGACCGAATGTCTGTCTCCATAGAGGTTCTAAACTTGTGATAGAGCGCACTTTGATGAGAGTCGTAAGACTCAGGCCCAATGAGGGGTCCGGCCTTATCACACGTGCTACCGGGTGCACCCCCTTCAATCTGCTCGATAGCCATGACAAGGTGCTCTAGGCGAGCGGCCGTGCTGCTAGTACTCTCCGTCGGCGAAACGGATGACATGGTTGAAATCCGCTGTGCTCCAGAAGACGGAGAACACACGAAGTGGTTGTCGTAGCACTCGGATGACCTCCCCGAAGTATTGCCGTCATCCAGATCGGCGAAGTTGGAGTCACTGTCCATAGTTCGTCTGCCCACCTTCGCACCTAAATCAAAATTCTTGTCTAAAGCAGGTTGAGTGCAAGTAATGTCTTACCTTCGTCCATTCTTCGCTTTCTTCCACAACCCAACGCGACCTCGTCCGTTATATCTGTGAGGACTGTGGCACTGGGGAGACCAGCCTGGCGATAAACAGCTATTTGATGCTCCAAAGCTGTCACCCTCATCAAGAGGGAGTTTATAAATTTCGCTGTCAACTGTAGTATAGTGGCCTAAAAACTAAGAAACATACACAGAATACTTGCCTTGCTCAATTTTTCTCCTTCTTGAGCAGGCGGCAACAATACACGCAGATTCTCAAAACCAGCGTTGATACTCTGCATGCGTCTTCGTTCGTTGCAATTTGCTATCTCGCGTCTTACACGCTTTTCGTTTTCAACTTGGAGATGACCCACTCTTGCAGGACCATAGTCCGAACAAGACCTGCAAGCAAGTGCAAAATAACGCATTACAGACAAGAGAGAATGTCAATGCAAATAAAAGACAAGCAGAAGTTTTCGAAAAGCACGAAAGAAGTGAAGAAAGGAAGTTGCATGTGGGCTGTCCATCAATATGCAGGAGGCACATGGCAAGATGGCGAACCATGTGCACATACGCACCTTCGAGGTTTCGATAGCACATCCTCGCGTGTTTCAGCGTAGCACCGCCTCCTATCAATTACTTCTGCCTTTTGGGACATCAGTTTCTTCCAAATTTTTTACTCTCTGCGGATGACAATACCGCGATAGTAGCGAAATAGAAAATCGGCAGCAGCAGCACAGCGCACGACGGAAATCTCGCTGGACGTCCGTCGGCAATAACACGTCACAGGACTGAATTGGCGAAAAACAACGATCGTCAAATATGGATTAACACGTCAATTGTATACATTTTTCTCATAGGAAAACAACGGTTCAATGTAATATATACATAAAAACTCCTGTACTTGCTTCCTTCTTGGAGAAAATCGGATTCTATATCGGGGAAATTTGACGTTGTTATAGAAACAAAATGGCTGACCTAGGGTTTGTGGGATCATTTTAAACAATAATCATATTGTGTCCAGGGTTCTGGACTAATAACGCTAACCACTATAAGCATGTGTCATACGTCTACATAGTACCCGATAACTCTGTCAATCTACATCATTAATATACTAATGGACGGGGACTGTGTAACTCGCCTCTGTGGCTGGTTCAGTACAGTTCAGTGCAGGAAGACTGTTAATTGCCACTGGGTTGTTTGTCGTAAGCGATGCCGAATCGATAATAAGATAATCGTTGGAGTTGCCGGCTGTGTTGGGTAAGTGTGTGCACCGCACGCTGACATCAGTCTGAAAGAACGAATGTTTATTTCTTCGAACGAAGCACTGACATCCCCGCTTGTATAAACAGGTTTCTAAAACCGGCTTATAAGCCTGGAAAACCTTAAGAATAAGAAGAGTGGTTAGGTCTTTTAGTCTGGTTAATTGTCTGTTCTTAGGACAATTTGAACCCGGTCGACAGTGTCACTCGCCGTTCTCCTCACTTTCAGTATTCGGATTTTTAGTAAATTTGTTTACCATGGCGTTAACGAGGCTGGACTTATTTCTGGTTCACTTGTACTGACGGCCTCGTTGGTCGGTGCAAATAACTTGTCCGGTGTTTGCCTTGTGACGTAATTCGGTTCGCCTTCCCAGCATGTTTTGAGTTTTATACAAACATGTTTCCTTTAGGTGTGTATCCCTGGTTTCTCGGTTGGAAAGTTGACTTTTTTTAAGATGGTTGTTTTGTCGTGCCCTAGAAAAACCAAAATAATATCGGCCAGCAGACATTGGTTGTTTTCGAGCATTTCAGATTGTTTGTCAAGTTCCTCGCATCCACCAGACCGAGGGACTAGTGGTGGATTTGTCTCAACATTTGAATAATGTTCAGTGCCTGTTGCTAACAAGCTCGCGTTGCTTTCCTGCTGCATCTCCTGAATTATATTATGTCCGGTCGTCCTACGGTTTCCTAATTCCGCTATTTTGCTGAAGATGCCGCTGATGGTTTAAACATTTTCATTAGTTATAATTTCGTGCTTCAAACGATATGTTAATCGTCCACAAAATATTCCCTGTAGTGAGGTTTTGGAGGCCACACTTTTCGACCCGAAGTTGCCAGATTCGGATTCTAACAGGGTTTTTCGTGTGTCTTCTCCATGATCGAGTGTCTCACCGATACGTTTTTCGTAGTTTTTTTGTACGTATTCTTGGGTGTTATCGAATATTTTAAAGCATGTACCAGAATAAAAATGTGCTCAAACGCATGAAACAAGGGGGAAAATAACTCAGTCTTCTGTAGCTCTTCGAGACGAACCTGCGAAGAAGAGGAATGATGTACGTGGACAGACATCTGCTGTGCATTATATTTCAACGACGTGAATTGAGCGAGTGGGAAATTGTTAAAGCCGTTAGTGTAAGGGTTCGGGTGGAAATGTCCTCTCGGATGATATAGGGTGTTTTCAAACTATGCTTATAAAAATCACGTAGCTCAAGGATGCGAACACATCCGTGCTGATATTTGCGCGATTTGAATGACACATTATAGACTAGAAGCATATTTCAGCTCAACTGTCTTTTATATTATGGTGAAAACACAACCCACGAAAGTCCTCAGTACTTGAAATTCCGAAATCCAATTCAGGGTACACAAGCTTCCAATCATTGTTGCACTGCTGTTAAAATCTAAAATTTTATTGTGCGCATAATCAGGCTGGTCTTTGCTGTTTTTGAGACAAATTGCCGTTCAAAAATCATTTATAAGTCTTAGGTGTCTCGATGTGAGTGGATCGCAAATTATTCGGACTTGTTTGTAGATGGCCTACTAAAGTAGCAAGCCTACTAGGTGGAAAAAAACTTTTGAAGGTGAGACTATTAACTGAGGAGGAGAGCACGGGAGCATGGGAGACAGAACTGCTTGGTGTAGAGACAACAAGTGAGAATCTTTCAGTCTGCTTATCGCAATTATGCTCTCAGACGAAAGGCAATTACAAACCGCCCAAAGTGGATAATTACGAACTTACAGGCCTCTTTCAAAAAGATTTCGCTTTTTGGGGCGTTAGAGACTAACTGGCTCCGAAGAGCCCTTATGCGGATATAAGCAGCAACGCAACATTTGGAAAGATGAGGCTTGCGGGTTGCGAAGGAATTTGGAGCTTAACGCATTGCATAATTCGTTAGAACACCCAGAAATTCGGTGCACCAAAATAACTCAGGAACTGATCCCTGCACTTAGGTCTGCAGACAGAAAACTGGGAACTGACGAGCAGGTCAAAGCATCCCACTTTCTAATTTCTTTCATTCCGTCTTCACCCCAGTACCCAATGCTTTATTCGCCCCTTCGCCCGTTCGCCAATCAACGTTTTCACCTACTCCCCGTCACCCTTCTCCCCTACGTCACCCTCCCTAACCTCCTTAGTCGAGGAGCCACTCTTTTCATCGGTAATGGTTACAGCCGTATTGCTTCGGCTACAGCCTGTCAAAATCTTCCGGTCCGGGTCGAATTTCTGCACTGGTTACACTATTTTGAAAGTTATTTAAAGACGGCGTTCTCCCTGAAGAATGGAAGCCCGTGTTTATTAATCTGATTCATACAGGAGGTTCACGATTTGACTGCGGAAATTATCGACCTGTCCGTCTAACTTTCATTGCGTGCGAATTAATGGAGCGCGTTATGAAAAGACTTTTGATGGAGAAAAACAATATATTCTGTGATGTCCAACACGACCTAAGCTCAGGATGTTCTTGCCTTATGAGTGTACTTTACTCGCTCTAGAAATGGATAAGGCCACATATAGGGATTATCCAGTAGATGTCATGCTTTTCAAATTCAAGAAGGCCTTCGATAGCGTCCACACGGGTTTCTTTTACAAAAGGTTTGGGGTGTAAGTATTCGAGGAAGAGTGATTGAATGGAGAAGAAGTTCCCTGTCCTGCAGAGTACAGAGTGTCTTTGTCAGTAAACCTATCTCGGAATGGATAAATATGGAAAGTGGGGTGCCAGAGGGTCTTGTTTTAAGCCTACTACTTTTCCTGGGTTATGTTACTGGTTGCACCCACGAAATACACTGCGAGACTCTCATGTTCGCGGATGGCACAAAAGTATGGATTGGAATCAAATGCCCTGATCATGCAAAGAAGCTGCAATCGAGCATTGGCAGACTGAGTGTTTAGTCAAACAGATGGTCTTTGGAGTGTAACATGTCTAAATGCGTGGTCTTACACTTAAACCCCGCCAAAATACCTCTTCCAGACATCAGTACTAAATTTGCGGGACGACATTAGAAACTATAGGAAGATACGGAGATCTGGGTGTATGGACGACTGCAAATCCATTGCCATCAGAACACTGCAGGAAGGTTGTCCAGCAGGCAACTGGTACTTTACATTGTATCAGACGTGCATTTTAAATATTCCCTCCCGAACTCTTCGAAAGACTTTTTGGCATCTTTGTAAGACCCCATCTGGAGTATGGGATGCCAGCAACTTCGCTATGGAGAAAGGATATTGACTTATTTGAACAAGTACAAAGCAGAGCAACGAAAATGATCGATGGTCTAGAGCCTTTGTCATATCAGGGAGGCCGAATTTGCTTGGCTTATCACCCCTATTATAAAAAAATGAACTGTAGTCTACTATGGACATCCCGTTCAGTCCGAGGCCGAGGATGCCTATTGAGTTGAATTACGGCTATTAGATATGAAGCTGGATGTCATTTCTATTGCAGAAACTTGGTTCCATGCAGAAGTACTGGATGGAAAAATGGCGATCGATGGATACGAAATCCTTTGTCGAGAATGACTACACAAGTAGGGAGTCGGTCTAGTAGACTAAGTAAAGATAGTACTCACCGCATCCGAACTCAGAACTGTCTGTGTACATTACTAAAACAGAGTGTGGTTCAAACTAAAGATGCCTAGAACACATGATTTGAATTTTCCGATCATAGCAGGATGAGGCTGATGAGATGAAGCTTGGATTAATTTAAATAGGTGGCCCAAAATCAAGTCGCTCCGCACGCTGGGAATTATAACGTCCCGAAGACCGGCTATAATAATTCCCTAGTAAGATGCTCACGTAAATCCCTCGATTCTTAACCATTTAATCCGAGAAGGAACCTGTTTCAACCAAAAGCATTATTGAGATCTATCATTAACAGGTTAAGGAATATAGAGACGGTTGCAGTGCCGAAAGAAGAAAGAAATGAGGACATTACTGCTATCAACGGTAAGTCATAACACAAGGGTTCTTCCGCACCTACCTCTACTGATTAAATGGAATTTAATCAGGCGGACTTTGCCACGGGAAATAATGACATTCACCAAAACAGTCGATTTTGCGGAAGACGAAATAAAAGAAATTCTTGGAAAAATACCTACAAAGTCCTATAGAAGCTTAAGTTTGATGTCTTATGTCCGCTTACGTATATTTTCTAGTCGCTCTTCAGTGAAGGCATCCTATCTTCTGATAATAAGGTGACGAATAGATACGTCATTGGCAAGGACATGCAAAGAACAAATGCTAACAGTTATTGGTCAGCGAGTCTAACAATCATTTACTACACTTCCGCCGAAATGACCATCAAAAACTGACACGAAGTTTCCTGAGATAAAAAGACATTTAAGAAGTCAAGTCTGCGCACGACTGCTGTTTGACGAAAATGCTGTATTCGGCGGAGCAGTA